CTCCTTGACCTTACCTTTACCCATTCGGACCAGGCCTTTAATAACCAAGGGCCCATTGCCGTGATTTCCCCACAAAGGAATCACTTTCCCAAGATGAACCATGCCACGTCCCTAGAAAGCAGAAAGAGTGGTAGCAGCTTCTGTATTAAATGGACCTTTCATTTTTCTGCTGGGGCTGTTTCCGTACCTGCTTGCCTCCAGCCTGGGCTGTGAGTTTCTTGAGAGCAGAAACCTGTCTTACTCATCTCTGCATCTCCAGCGTCATAGGTGCTTCCATACACACCATGCCAGTCTCCCCAGGGGACTCAGCACCCTAAGGGCAGCAGCTCCAACTTATTCACATCTGTCCCTCCTCCAGCACCTGGAACAGCACGGTTTACACAGAGGGCCCCTAATAAATGTTTGTCAGATTGAGTTGGTTTGGTGAGGTCATGGAGAGACAGGACAGAGGGTGGAACTTGGGCCAGGTCTAGAGCAGAACAGGAGGGCAATGATAACAGCTCACATTTATTGAGCATTTACTACATGCCATGTGCTTCTCTAAATGCTTTTTTGTGTATTAACTCATTTAATCTTCACAGCCAACCCCACCAGGTGGGTTCTGTTATTATCCCCATTGTACAAATGAGGAAACTGAGGCATAGAGTGATTAAGGAACTTGCCAACATCACATAGTTAACAAGTGGCAGAGCTGGGATTTGTACACAGTCTGAATCCAGAGTATATGTTCCCAATACCTTAAATTGTCTCACATGCCCAGTAACTTACATGGTCTCACATGTCCACAACATACAGTATATGCTATCCAGAGAGAGGCTGACCTGGCCACTACACAAATGAGATCAAAGGGCACAGCCCAGCCAGAGCCTGGGGCTGAGAAGTGGGGAAAAGGCATATGGAATCTTCCTCTCCAGAGATTTTTCAAGGAAAGGTTAGACCACTCTCAGCCCAGGCCTGCTTGGAGGCAGGGGGCTAGACAAGATCACCTTCTAAGGTCTTCACCACATTCTGACTCTCACTGGAGCTGAGAGCCCTGAGGGCAGAAGTCTATGTCTGAGGTGCCTTCATGGGCACAGCTTGGAGCAGCCACTGAGGCCAGAGGTTAAAAGTAGGGAGCAACATAGCTCCTGCAGAAAGACAAATGTTGGCCTGAGCCTGAATCCCTGCCTGAGCCTGATCCAGAGGCCCCATGAGGCTAACTGGGAGGCAGGCAGGGGACAAGAGAAAGCTTGGCCTTCCAGCTCCAAAAACTCCAACCCAGCCCAGAGTGGTGGTCCCCCTTCCCATTGCCCATACTTCCAAGTGTGTGCACACAAAAACCCTGACCCAAACAGATGTGCCCAATGTCCCCCAGAGTGCAACAACAACCCTCAGCTTTTTTTTTTTTTTCCTTTTTTTTTTGTCTTTTTTCGTGTCCGACAACGGACTGCAACCCTCAGTGTCGCGCCCGTACTGGACCGGGACCGGCAACAGGATCGCAACCCTCGGTGCTGTGCCCGCCCCTCGCTCAGCCAGTGAGCGGGAACCGGTCTGTATGTGGGATCCGAACCCTCGGCGGGAGCGCCACCACGCTCCCAAGCGGCGCACTGTAGCAGTGCACCACCGGGCCGGCCCCGTCAGCTTTGAAATGTACCAGTCTTCCATAAGTTTTCACTGAGCTCTGCTAAGCTACAGGCTCCATGTTAGGCACCAGGCATGCAGGCCCACTTAGAATTTACCCACCTAGTAGAGGAAAACAACACTTGAACAAGCAAGTGCAATAAACATCCTTTCGGTTAGACAGCTGGAAAGGGGATATGCGGCCCAGTGGACCCAGGGTCACCAAAGCCTTCTTAAAGGAGGGACATTTGAGGAGCTGACCTTGAAAGGAAAGTAGATGAAGGTGGGCGGGGGGAGCAAGGGAGGGGTGAGCTTCCCAGGCAGCAGCCAGAGCCCAGCCTCAAGGTGAGAGACTGCAGATCATTTGAGGTGATAGCCACAGACAAGATGGAGAGAAGAAAGGAGCAGAAGCTTGGAACCACGCAAGCCCCTGCAGGGTCCTGGTTTATGTTGCGGGAGAGAGAGAACCACTGTGGGGTAGTAAGCGTGAGAAAAAAATTATCAGAGGCCATTGTTTTGTACTAAATTCCTGCACTAGGCCCCAACAGACCAGATTAAAAACCAAAATGGAGTTACCCCTGTTAAGTCCCACATCACTTAGGTTGTGGTCTGACCTTCTGAGAAGTCGGGAGGGAGAGAGCCAATTTGCCAATCAGACCAGTTTAAATCTTCAGGAGATATGACAACGAAGTTCCCTCTGCTCTAATCCCTATCTAAAGAGATAGCTGAAGTAACCTGATGTAAATTAATCAGTTGTTTTCATATTGTTGTCTCCCTGTCCCCGCCTTACAAAGAAAGGAACTTTGAAATGACCAATTCTGTTTTTGTTCTCTGTTTCTGTTTCCTTCAGCCTTTTTTGTCTGGAAAGCTTTTGTTATTTGTGATGAACTTTGGAGCACTTCTCTGACTCTGTTGGATGGTGTTTCTCAGGTCAGTCCTCACATTTGGCTTCCAATATACTTTAGAAAATTATTTCTACCTTGAAAGATTTAATTTTGGTCAATATAAGCAAGGGAAGGGCCGGCCCGTGGCTCACTCGGTAGAGTGCAGTGCAAATAACACCAAGGCCGCGGGTTCGGATCCTATATAGGGATGGCCGGTTTGCTCACTGGCTGAGCGTGGTGCTGACAACACCAGGCCAAGGGTTGAGATCCCCTTACCGGTCATCTTAAAAAAAAAAAAAAAAAAAACATAAGCAAGGGAGTCACATGGCCTTTCTGACTTAGAAAGACCATTCTGGCAAGGAAAAGAAGGATCTGAAGGCAGGGGTCCTGGGCCCTTTCAGTCAGTCTCATGGTCTGAAGGCCCCTCCTGCCCTAGACCGTGCAGGCTACCACATGGCATGGGCTCCTCTTCACAGCCACCACACCTGAACCACAGGCATGATGGGGGAGAAGGATGGGGACCCACACATGGCTGGTTCTGGACTCTGTCGTAGGCCCCAAATGTGTGTGATGCCTGGTCCAGCTGGTCCGCACTGCTCTCAGCTATGACCCCAGCAAGGGCTCAGAGGAGAGCAAGAAAGAACCTTTCACCAGGGAGGCAGCACTGGAAAATAAGGCTACAGATTTAAGATGACAGCAAACACTTACTGAGTGCTTGGCATGTGCTAGGCACTGTCCCAAGGCTTTGTACATATCCATCCTATGAAGTGGTTCTATTACTGTCCCCATTTTACAGAAGGAAGCAAGTAAAGCACAGAGAGGACCCACTGTGCCTACCCCAGGGATTCAAATCTAGGGTGTCTAGATCCTTTTGTTTATTCAGTAATTACTTCCTGAGCACCTACTATGTGGCAGGCACCATTCAAGCCCTTAGGACACAATGGCGAACCAATAGTAAATCTACAAACAGTCCATGTTGTGAACAACTATGCTGGGCTACCTCTCAAGGGTGGGATGAAGGCCAGAAGCAAGGGTCAGTCCTCATGCTTGGAGAGGATATTCAGTGCCCCAGGGCATTCTTGGCCTGGTTGCCAAAGAGAAAGAGCAGCCACTTTGCTAAGAATCTGGTGGGCGCTGAGGTTCGGGACCCCCTCTCTGATAGTAGGGCTAATGGACAGAAGACCCAGGGCTTGGGCCCTGCAGCACCCTCCTCTCTGGAAGAGTGCCCCTCCCACAGTCTCTTTGGGCTGTACCCAATCTCTTCCAGGCCATGTCCCTTGGTGCCCTGGGGTGGGGGGTGGGGGATGAGAATAGTGAGGCAGATGCTGCCAGGAAGACCTTGCACGGGAAAGGGGGAGAGTCTGCTGCCCCCTCTGTCAGCTCAAAGGGCCTATCTCAGGCCTGGGGACCAGAGCAAGTGGGCAGGGGAAAATAGCAGGAAACTGGGGCACCTGGGCTACCTCTGCAATAATGACTGAACTGCTGGCCACTAAAGTCAGGGGAAGAGAGAGAGGGCTTTGGCATTTCAATCCTGCACTCAGCAGGCAGGCCCAGGCCAGGTCAGCCTCGATATGGACTAGGGTGGGACAGGGGGTGTTAGAGGGTAAAGGGATCTTTGAGGGCTTTCTTTAATTCATAGGCCAAGGGCAAGAAAGACATTGTCTGAGTTCATATTCCTGCTGTGGGGTCTACAGAGCCCTTGGGTCATGCCCTTCTTGCAACCAGTTCCTTTCTTCTCTCCCTTTCCTCAAGATCCTCCCTGAGATGCAACCTATTCCAGGAAGCCATCCTGAACTGAAAGAAGTTAATGCTTCTCCTCACCTCTGATCCATGTGCTAATGCATAGACTGACATGGGGCTTCTCCAGAATTTTCCTCCAACTTTTACCCAAGTCAAGGGAATACCCTCTAGCCTATGTGCAGACCCATGCCTCCTGACACAGTGGTCAAATTTCTTTGATTTTTTTAGCTTCAAATATGTGTGAGCTTTGCACTCTACTCCAAGATATAGCCACATCTATTATTATATTTTTTAAAAGATAGTGTTTTGTTACTTACAGGATGAGTCATAATTTTCCTCCTAAAATATTCTAAGGAAATTGATGCTACAGGAAGATGCCCCATGCTTAACTGGTAACTTTGTAAACCTCCTGGGACTTCAGTGTTGTATATCATTGTGTACCTCAACTGAAGGACCAATGAGGCAACAAATTTCAGCTGCAAGGACCCAAGAGCTATCTTGCTGGTTCTGAGACACTGATCCCTGTAGTCCTCAGGGGCAGCCAGGCAAGTGCGCAGCTGGAGCCCCCTCAATGTCTCTCCTCTATTAAGAGTGTGCTGGTCAAATATTATCCCATTCTATGGGTGCCATGACGTGATTGTGGTTAGGAAGCAGTTATCTAAGACATCGGTTCTCAAATTTGACCTTAAATTAAAATATCCTGGGGATCCTCTAAAAATCCTGATGCTCAGACCACAGCATATACCAATTAAATCAACATCCCTGATCTTTCTCTTCCAGTCCAGGAACTTTGGGAGCCACGGGTTACTGTGCAGACATGGCCAAGTCCAAGAACCACAGCGCACACAACCAATCCCAGAAATGGCACAGAAAAGACATTAAGAAACCTCAGTCACAAAAATATGAATCTCTTAAGGGGAAAGACCCCAAGTTCCTGAGGAACATGCTTTTTGCCAAGAAGCACAACAAGACAGGCCTGAAGAAAATGCAGACCAACAATGCCAAGGCCATGAGTGCACGTGCTGAGGCTATCAAGGCCCTTGTAAAGCCCAAGGAGGTCAAGCCCAAGATCCCAAAGAGCACCAGCTGCAAGCTTGATTGTCTTGCCTACATCACCTACCCCAAGCTCGGGAAGCGTGCGCATGCCCTGTATTACTCCATTTTGTGTTGCTATAACAGAATACCTGAAACTGGGTGATTTATAAAGAACAGAGGTTTATTTGGCTTACGATTCTGGGACAGCTGCATCTGGCACGGGCCTCAGGCTGCTTCTACTCATGGCATAAAGTGGCAGGCAGCCGGCAGGTACAAGCAGATCACATGGCGAGAGGAAGCAAGAGAGAGAGAGAAGGTGCCAGGGTCTTTTTAAGCAACAAGCTCTCACGGGAACTAATAGAGCGAGAACTCACTCACTACCCCTCATCTCCCAGGGAGAGCATTAATCCATTCATGAGAGATCCGCCCCCATAATTCAATCAGTTTCCAACACTGCCACATTGGAGGTAAAATTTCCATATGAGTTTTGGAGGGGACAACACATCCAAACTCCATCATGCCCTCATTGCCAAGGGTCTAAGGCTGTACCAGCCAAACATCAAGGCAAAGGCTCAAACCAAAGTCTAGGATGCAGTTTCAGCTGCAGCTCTGGTTTCAGCTTCAGTTCCAGCTCCAGCTCAGGCTCTGAAAGGTGCCCAGGCCCCACAAAGGCTCTGGAGTAGAGGCCTCTCTCTGCCAATATGAAGACAGAAGGAATGATGTGACCCCTGCGCTGTTGTGTGGGGCTGCTATATTTCTGTGCTGCTTGTACAAGTAAACCTGAGGCAGGATAGATAAATAAATAAATAAATCAGCATCTCTTGAGGATGAAATCAGCAATGGTAGTTTTTAAAGCTCCCCAGGGCTGGCTCCTTATCTCAGTTGGTTAGAGCATGGGTGTTATAACACTAAGGTCAAGGATTCAGATCCCCATATCAGCCAGCCACCTAAATACATAAATAAAGCTCCCAAACCAATGTGCAGTTGAGTTTAAGAACCAGCAATCTAGGCCAAATCCTTTATATCACAGATGGAGATGCTGAGGCCCAGAGAGAAGGGATTGCTCAAGGTCACACAGGATCACACAGGAGGAAAGTGGCTGAACCCAGGTCCTCTAGTGCCCGAGGCAGGCCTCCTCTGCTGCACCCCACCCCCGCATTGCTGTGGGCACTGAGCTGGCAGACTGATAATCCCACGTGGATCATAGAGTTCTTGGCTCAGGGCTGGTTCCGAGAAAGACTGTGGGACAGGCCAACAGAGCCCCCTCATCCCACTGTGTCCCCCAGTCAAGCAGCTCCTAATGCCTCAGTGCAGAGCCCAACCTAGAAATTCTCCAGGCTTGACCATTACCCTGGATTTAACAGGAGCTCAAGGAGATGGGGGCCGGGTGGGGCTTGGGGCAGGATACTACAGGCAGATGTGCTATAGCCCAGCGAAAGAACTGGGGCAGGCCTGGAAGATGATTTCCTTGACCCCACCCTGTGGGGCGCCATCCTTGCTCTCCCCACCCTCTGATGACGCGCTGACCCCTGCCCTCCACCTCACTTCCATCACCCCTGATGAGGAGGTGACGGAAATCCATTTCCGGCAGCCTGAGGGCTTTCAGCAACTTATTTTCATTCTGGGGTCAGGCTGATTCTGATAGGTCCATCTAAGGCCCGGGTAGGCCCTGTGTCCTGTCTGGGAGGGTCTCACACACACACACACACACACACACACACACACACACACACACACACACAACAGAACTCTGGAGGAGAGAGGGGGCGTCCTGGGGGTCAGGGCATTCATGGCCAAATGCCGCCTTTGTGGGGGGTGGTCATAGGGCAAGACAAAGAGCTGAATGGAGGAATCGATCCTTCTGTCCTCTTCCTCCCTTGTCTTCTAACCCAGTGGTTCTCAGTTCTACTCACACATAGAATCACCTAGGAAGCTTTTTAAAAATGCTGAAGCCTGGGCTCCAGCACCGAGGGAGTTCAATCTAAGTGTTCAATTTAAGTCTGGGGAGAGGCTGGGGCATCAACTTTTCTATCTCCCCAGGTGATGCAACTGTGCAGCCAGGAATGAGAACACTTGCCTGATGGAATCACCCACTGGGCAGAGGGTCAGGGGAAGAGCCTACCCTTTCTGGGCTGCAGGAAGGGCAACATAGCCTGAGACCCCTACTTCACGTGCATCATCAATCCAATGCAGTAAAAAGCCGGGGGTTAAAGAGCAGGGGCAGATCCTCCTTCTCACTCCTTCATTTCCTTGCCTTGGACAATTTATTCAGCTTCTCAGAGCCTCAATTTCTTCATAAATAAAGTGAAGAGAACAGTTGCCACCTAGGAGGTACTTGTGATAATTAAGTGATTAAGTCTACATAGTCCTGTGCATGTAGTAAGCAATCAATAAAAGGTATCCTTTTTTTTTTTTAAAGATGACCTGTAAGGGGATCTTAACCCTTGACTTGGTGTTGTCAGCACCACGCTCAGCCAGTGAGCAAACCAGCCATCCCTATACAGAATCCGAACCCGTGGCCTCGGTGTTATCAACACCACACTCTTCCGAGTGAGCCACGGGCCAGCCCCAAAAGGTATCCTTTTATTATAAAACATGAAAGCTGACTTGTACACCCATGTTCACAGCAGCATTATTCACAACAGCTAAAAGGTGGAAGCAACCCAAATGCCCATGGATGAATGGATAAGCAAAACGTGGTACATACACACTGTATTAGTCCATTTCTGTTGCTTATAACAAAATACATGGAACTGGGTACTTTATAAAGAAAGTGAAATTTATTGCTTATAGTTTCTGAGGCTAGGAAGTCCAAAGTGCAAGGAACACATCTGGTGGTGCAAAACAGTGACCCAGGTGTCTCACATTGCAAGATGGTGAAAGCAGAGACAGAAAGAGAGACTAACCTTCTCATTCATTCTCTTTTTAAAGCCCTCCAAACCGCACGTATGGCCACCATTTTTAATCTGTTCATTAAGGTATGGTCCTGCAATCTAATCACCTCACCAAGGCCCCACCTTTTAATTACTATAGTAGGATCTCTCACCCTCCCAATAGTCACAGTTGCGGGGGTCAAGTTTCTGATACATAAAACTTGGAAGACACAATTCAAGCTTCTATGAGTTTGGGGGGGACACTCAATCCACTACGCACACAATGGAATATTATCCAGCCTTAAAATGGAAGGAAATTCTGACACAGGCTACAACACAGATGAACCTTAAGGACATTATGTTAAGCAAAATAAACCAGTCACCAAAAGACAAATATTGTATGATTCCACTTATATGAGGTACCTAGAGTAGTCATATTCACAGAGACAGAAAGTAGAATGGTGGTTGCCAGGAGCTGGGGAGAGAAGGGATGGAGAGTTAATATTTAATGGGTACAGAGTTTCAGTTTTGCAAGATGAAAAGAGTTCTGAAGATGGATGGTGGCAATGATTGCACAGCACATGAATGTATTTAATACTGCTGGAACTATACACTTAAAAACGGTTAAGATGGTAAATTTTATGTTATATGTATTTTATTACAATTTTTTAAATGAAGGAAAAATAAAACAAAATGAATAAAAGCTGGAATTAGTGATACAGCTGATCTGTGGACCCGTGGCCCTGCCTTCAGGCCTCCCCTTCTGAGATAGATGCAGGGGGACAGATGCACAGTAAATGAACTCAGGATTTGTACCAATAATAAACAGGAAATAATAGATGGGTTTAAATATTTATATGCTATGCAGGCTTCAGGGTAAAGACACTAAGGGGAAAGGCAGGCGGGGGTAGGAGACACAAAGAGAATGTAAACCTTACTAGAAAATGGGGGGGGGTGTTTAAATATGGATTTCAAGTGCACTCATGGAGACAGGGAGTAACAGTGCAGGAGGGGGAATCCCTGTCCAGACCCAGGGAGAGTGTGCCAGAAGCCTGGTCCACCCGTTCCTTTCTTCCCCTGGAGATCCTTGTTTACTCTGTTAGACTGAAAGAGAATGTAATCAAATTATGACTCGTTATTCTAAATGACTGTTTCCAGTGGGGAAATCAGGCAGGGAGGCTGGAAAGGGGAAACACGTTGTTTTCCAGAACACTGTTTGTTTGCTGTTCTCCAGCTCCCTCTGTCCCCGAGCCCTTTCCTCCCTTTATGCCTTCCCCTGTCCTGGCCTCTCCCTCCCTCCATCCTGGGCTCTGCCCCCCCCCCCCCCCCCCCCCCCCCCCCCCCCCCCCCCCCCCCCCCGCAGACACAGGGTTGGGGGAGCAGAGCAGGACTTCTCAGTCCCAGCAGGTAACCATGGGTAGGACAACAAGGAATATCCTGCACCCTGCCCCCAGCTTCTCTACTGTCACAACATGACGCCCAAAAAAGAATTTTTCCAGCCCCTCCCACCTCCCAACCAGAGAGCAGATTCAATCCCTCTATTTCTAAAAGTCAGGTCACTTGATTGATTAGGACTCTGTCTCTAACTTGCTGGGTCACTTTGGGCAAATCACTTGTCCTTTCTGGAGCTGAGGGGGGAGTGGGGAGTGTCATTCCAGAAAAGGAACCTCCTCTGCCTGCCCTTTCCTGCCAGGACTGGTGTGAAAACAAGGGGTGACCACACCCATCGGCGACCCTCAGATCCCAGACACCCAGAGCCTGAGGTGGGTGAAATACACAGGCCCTCAGTGATAGGGGCAGCAGCTGGGGATGTGGAATGGCCCCATGCCCTGGACCCCCACAGAGATTCAGGGACCAACCTAGCCTGGGAGCAGTGAGCTAAATGTCCCACTAAGGGCCACCCTATCCATCCCCCTGCCTCCACTCAAGCCTGCATGCAGTTTCTCACAGAGGAGGCTAGTGGACATAGGTCCCTTTGAAAGGTCAAATGGGCTAAAAAGGGGAAAGAAAGCATTCTCCCTCTCCCTCCATTCTGGCCAGCTGCTTTCCAACCACCCAACAGAAATGAACAGAGAGACTGGCTGCACTTCCTTCCCTGGGTTCACACATTCCATGGCCTGGCAGCTCTTAGTGATAAATACATCGGAAAATCTCATCCAGGGTCAAAAGGAAACAGTGAGCAAAGGGCAAAGGTGGCATTTTTTTTTCCTTTTTGTCTTTTTTACTGACCGGTAACGGGATCGCAACCCTCGGTGTTGCGCCCGCACCGGGGACCAGCAACGGGATCACAACCCTCGGTGTTGTGCCCGCACTGCGCTCAGCCAGTGAGCGGGAACCAGTCTCCACATGGGATCCGAACCCTCGGTGGGAGCGCCGCCGCGCTCCCAAGCGGTGCACTCTCCAGTGCACCACTGGGCTGGCCCATGAACAGAGAGACTGGCTGCACTTCCTTCCCTGGGTTCACACATTCCATGGCCTGGCAGCTCTTAGTGATAAATACATCGGAAAATCTCATCCAGGGTCAAAAGGAAACAGTGAGCAAAGGGCAAAGGTGGCATTTTTTTTTCCTTTTTGTCTTTTTTACTGACCGGTAACGGGATCGCAACCCTCGGTGTTGCGCCCGCACCGGGGACCAGCAACGGGATCACAACCCTCGGTGTTGTGCCCGCACTGCGCTCAGCCAGTGAGCGGGAACCAGTCTCCACATGGGATCCGAACCCTCGGTGGGAGCGCCGCCACGCTCCCAAGCGGCGCACTCTCCAGTGCGCCACCGGGCTGGCCCAAAGGTGGCATTTTTCCAAATATATTTTGGGGGATTATTTTTGGTGGTTGGTTGGTATGGGGATCCAAACCCTTGACCTTGGTATTACCAGCACTATGCTCTCCCAAGTGAGCCAACCAGCCAGCCCTACACTGAGTTGTGACAGCTCTCTCTCCCTCTCTCCCTCTCTCCCTCTCTCCCTATCTCCCTCTGTACATGGAGCATATACCACGTGGGCATGAGTAGCCGTGTCCCAGGCAAACTCTAGTTTACTTTATTTTTTTATTACTAACCTCACCTGTAATAAATTTACCCTGAAACTGTCAGATCCAAAGCTCATTCAGAGGTGTTCACGAGCCAGGAAGGATGACATTGAGGGAGTGTCTTGACTGTCCCTGTCCTGGCCCTGCAGTCTTCTCACTGCCACACACCACCCTCCACCCTCACCCCTACCACTCCACCCTCACCCTCACCCCTACCACTCGCACCTAAGTGGCTGTGCAGGAACAGCAGGACCAGAGTGAAGAAGTGAAGAGGAAGCTGAGCTTCACTGGCTCCCAGGCTCTACCCCCCCACCCCCGTGCCTGCGCAGCCCCAGTGATGGAGGGGAAGTTCTTTAGCCCTAGAGAGAGAATTGTGAAGTTGCAGGAGACCTCATACACCCCCTTGCCCAGCCTTTCACTCTGCAGATAAGGGAAGTGCAGTCAGAGCAGTCCAGGGAGGGGTCCCAGGCCCCATGGCCAGTCAGAGGCAGGTCTCCTGACTCTGCTCATCAGCAGTGACTCCCCAGGCCTCCTTCAGCTGTCTCCTTCCTCCCCCTCCCACCACCACTTGATAGCTTTTGTCTCCCTCCAGTTCTTTCCAGGTTTCTGAGGAAAACCATTCCATACAGTAGTGTTCTCCAGGGGCCCACACCAGCTAGTTCCTAAGGGTCCTCCCTCTCACCTAGATACGTATTTCTGGCCTGTGGTCCAGGTGATCTCCTGGCCCTCTGACAACACCCATAGCAAAGCCCAGGTTAGGCTGGGAATTTGTGGGAGGACCTTGAAATCTCCTCCGGACTCAGACTAGGCCTTCTAGCAGACCTCCTAACATATCTGAGTGACACATCAGGGCTTACCCTCAGCCCATCCCACCTGGTTACTCCCCAGATTTCATTTCTTGCAAGAAGAGAAACTGAGGTTCAATGAGGTAAATGTAAACTCCAGAGCCCCACGACTTCCATTTCCGCATACCTGCCCAGAAGCCCTGACAGCTAGAGATAGCTCTAGAACTAAGTTCTGGCAAATGGGATATAAGCTAAAGATTGTACAACTTCTAGGAGGCAGGTTAAGCCATTCTTCATTGTTTCTCCTTTCTGCTCCTTGAAGTACATAGGCATGATAGCTGGACACAAACAATCATTTGGGACTCTGGGAAGCACGGCAGTAAGCTAGAAGGAGCCTGGTTCTCTGACTACATCAGAACCCTTTGCCGTTGAGTTAAGCCACAGCTACTTTGGATTTTCTGTCATGCATAGCTGACCCGACTCCTAACTAACACAGTAGTGAACATTTATTAGTTTTTCTGCCCAGCACTTTCCCTTTTTCCCCTTCTTTGAGGAAACTCCTCTTCATTTGCCTTTCCTGCAGCTTCTCCATACAGTTTCACTGGGGCCTGCCGGTCCTAGTATCATAGCCCCTGTCTCAAGGCCAGGCACTGCTGGCAGCCTCATGGGGGAGATCAGTGCGTAAGCAAAGCCAGCGTGCAGACGGAAGAAAAGGCAAGAGAAGGGGAGGAAGGGCAGGGTAGCGTTTGAGTCTCTGGCCACCCTGTGGCCCCACTTGACTCTGCCCACCCTGGGGAGGGAGCAAATGTCCTTCTACGAGCTGAGTGACTGTCACTTACATGGGGAACATGTGGAACAACATGTAATCAAGTAGCCAGAGGTAGGAACAGACTAGCTCTGGGGTGGCAGGAAAGAGAGAGACAATATGCGGAGAGATCAGAGGGAGGAAGCCCTGACAAAGGAGGTGAGACTTGGGCCAGGCCTTGAAGGAAGGGAGGGCTCTGAGTAGCAGATGAGGGACGGCACCACTCAGAGGAGCACTGTGGGGGTGGAGGAGGGGAGACAGTGAGGGCTCGGTTCTGAGAGTCTGTGTAGGAGAAGAGGGAAGAAAAGATAGGAAAGGCAGGGAATATTACGTCATGGAAGGCCCCAAACGTCAAGCTCAGTAGTTGGGACTCTGGTTAGCCGTCCTCAGACTTTAGTATTCCAGGAGTTCATAAAAACACAAATTCAGAGCCCTGTCGTGAGAGGTTCTGACTCACCAGGTGTGGGGAGAGGCCCACAATTGTGCCAGAACTCCACCTTATAAAGGCCAACTGTGGGCAGCGAGATGCCATCAAGCAGGAAAGTGACCAAGGGTGTTTAGGAAAATTAGACAGTAGGCAGTAGAGCAGATTGGAGGTGGGGAAACTGAATGGGAAAACTGAGGTATGGGAAGGTGGTGGGAATTGAAACTGTAAGGAAGGGGGAGAAATTATGAGGTAACTTTGGAATGTATGAAATTTACTTTGGAAATGGGGGTGGGGGGGCAGTTCATGGTGACTCTGTGAGTGACCAGGAGACCAGCAGCACTGAAAGCATTTGTCAGGAAGGTGGTGGTGGCCTCACTGTGCATTGAAGCTCCTTCAGAAGAACCAAATAGAAACTTCTATAGGCAGTTGGAGACTGGAGCTCAAAAGAGGGTTGGATTTGGGGTTTATTAGCTTCAAGGAGAGCACTGAGGAGTGAAAATGGGTGAGATCTCTGAAGGAGAGCAGAGCAGGGAGGAGACAGCTAAAGACTAAACTCCTACCACTCCAGGTTACAAGGGTGGGCCTATTTATGGAATCAGAATTCTAGAACCAGATAGGATTCCTTACAGATGGAGATACTAAGAGATACTGAGACCCAGAGAGCATGAGTATCTGGCTTCATACTGCCAGGTGGTTAGGGCAGAGCCTGACTGCCAGTCCACAGCTCTTTCCTTTTGCTTTTGTATATTTCTTCAAGTGCATACAGGAACCAGTGTCTGCCTAGGGTGCCATTTTGTACACGTTAGCAAAAATGTGCCAATAGTTCCAAAGTGTCTTAAAAGGTTAAAACCTTTTCCATATGCAAGAACTGCATGTGGGCACAAAGGAAAAGGAATGTGATGAGTTTCTCAGCCTGACGGAGACATCAAGGCCTTTCAGGGCTGGCCCCTGGCTCACTTGGGAGAGCATGGCACTGACAACACCAAGTCAAGGGTTAAGATCCCCTTACTGGTCATCTTTAAAAAAAAAAAAAAAGGATGACCAGTAAGGGGATCTCAACCCTTGGCTTGGTGTTGTCAGCACCATGCTCAGCCAGTGAGCTAACCAGCCATCCCTATATGGGATCCGAACCCGTGGCCTTGGTGTTATCAGTACCACACTCTCCCGAGTGAGCCACGGACCAGCCCCTGGTCATCTTTAAAAAAAAAAAAAAAGGATGACCAGTAAGGGGATCTCAACCCTTGGCTTGGTGTTGTCAGCACCATGCTCAGCCAGTGAGCTAACCAGCCATCCCTATATGGGATCCGAACCCGTGGCCTTGGTGTTATCAGTACCACACTCTCCCGAGTGAGCCACGGACCAGCCCCTGGTCATCTTTAAAAAAAAAAAAAAAGGATGACCAGTAAGGGGATCTCAACCCTTGGCTTGGTGTTGT